GGTACGCGCTGCTCTGTCCCTGGAGATCTGCAGGCCGAGGTAGCGGCGCAACTCTCCTAGGTCAGTGCAGGTGTGTCTCCTCAGCAATTTTGCCTTCACGGAGGCCAGTGCATCTCTCTCTGCAGTAGCAAAGACCAGGTCATCTATGTAGACTAGGATATAGAACGGGTTCTGACCAGCACGAACGAGATGTGAGGGGTCTGCAAACAATGGGAAGAACTGCGTCAGCTAACGTAGCACGCAACGTGTCGTGCCACTCTCGTGGCGCCTACCGCAAGCCGTAAACCGGGCGCCAGAGGAGCCACTAGGTCCCCTGGGCAAAGGTGTCGATAAAGCTTGATGGACGGCGCAGGTAGACCTGCTCGTGCAAACTGCCCTGAAGAATAGCTGTCGCGAAATCGGGAGAGTGCAGCTCATAGTCACGATGTGCTGCTATATGTAACAGTGCCAAAAGAGTAGTCATCTTCGCGGTCGTGGCAAAGGACTGGAAGTAGTCCACACCCTCGCGCTGACTGAAGCCTCTAGCTACGCAGCGTGCCTTAAACACAGGCGGCTCTCCAGGAGGGCGCTTTACCTCGAAGAGCCACCGTCCATTGAGTACGTCCAGGTGGGGGAACTACGTCGACGTAGGTGCTAGTGGATCTCCAAGATGCCATCTCCGCGTCCATGGCAGCTATCCACTAGGAGGCCTAGGGTCCCGAGGTCGCCTCCACGTAGGTGCGAGGGGTCAGGATGTCGAAGGCATCTGGGTCCCCCTCAAGGACTAACAGCATGGAGCAGAGATGAGGCGCGACCTCGGACATGAAAGCTAGCTCATCCTGCCGATCCTCCTGGACGTCATTGCCAAGGGCAGGAGCACCCCCGACGGACGGAGGATGGACAGGGTTAGAGACCAGAGCGGTGGTGTAGTCAAGGCGGCGGGTAGAGGCAAAGTCAGCGAAAGCAGCGCGAAGAGCATCAAGACTCGAGACAGGAACAGACGGGTCGGTAATGAGTAAGGCAAGGACCCGAGGAACATGAGGACTAGCGGCACGGAGGTAGTCAGACAGAGGAGGCGGAGCGACAACAAGTGGCGACGGAGGAGGCGAGGGGAGGAGGGAAGGACGAGATGCAGGGGAATGAAGAAACATCAAGTGAGAGCGCTGGACAGAAGAGACAGGACGAGCACGAGAGGGACGACGGGACCAGAATTGGGACGGAGGCGTCGGGTTAGGAGACACAAGAGGAGTCACAAGAGGAGAACAAGGGGGGAAACGAGTCGGAGACGAGTCCGGCGGAGGAAACACAGGGCCGTAGACAGGCAGGGGAGGTAGCGGCGGGGGAGGCGCAGGCGGGTGGTCAGGGGAGGGAAGGCCGAGCAGGCGAAGGGCGGACACCGGCAGCGACTACTACTGCTGCTGCTCCACACCAATACCAGAACCTCCAGCTGCACCACGGCTACCTCCGGAACGCTCCACTCCAGAACCCCCGTAACGAGCACCCCCAGAACGAGAACCCTCTCCAGCATCGGTGCCACCCCCGAGACCACCGGGGCAAGCCACGACAGTAACCCCAGGACTAGCACCCCCAGAACCAGCACCACTTCAACAAAAACCCTCTCCAGCACCGGTGCCACCCCCAAGACCGCCAAGACGAGCCACGACAGGAACCCTAGGACTAGCACCCTCCTCAACGCCCACACCCACAGAGCCCATGGATAGCTGCTGCTGCTGCTGCGGCTGCGACGACGGTTGCAGCTGCTACTGCGGCGGCGATGGCGGCGCTGCTGCGATGGCGGAGGAGACACCGGAGGAGAAACAGGAGGCGAGAACTGCACCGCAGGGCCACCAGAGTCAGCCGAATCCTCGACCGGGACAACCGACGGGAGGGGAGTGACGTGAGACACACCAGACGGAGTAAAAATGCGAGGGAGGGGAGCAGGGGTGTAAGAGTACGACCCCGTTACACTAGTTTCTCATTTCCATCCTTTTCCTCTATCTCATTCTTCTTTTTATCCCGATTCCTTTGATCTGTATCACATCCCATTTGGATTCCTATTCCTCCTTTCCCATCATCCTTTGGGTTATCCTAATATTATAATTATATCACCGACTAGGCTCGGGATGTACTAGCGTACGCAGGGCTATACGCAGGGTGATTCTAGCAAAATCATACTGTAATCCTTGAAAAGCCAATAGCCTTGCGTGGGTATACGTAGGGTGATTCTATTTCTAGAAGGGTCTATTCTCTTTGGATAGGATAAACCTGGTTACCTGATGTACCTCGGAAGTATAAAAGCGCCTTGTATCAATCGATAGTGCAACTTTTTCTCGACACATTCGATCCCGTAACACTTGGTAATCAGAGTGTTTCTCACTCAGCCGCACTCAGTTAAGCAGAAGCAGCGAGAAAACCTGCCTCGCAAAACCGTCAGGGGCGACTAATTCGGCGCCGATTCTGGTAAGCACCAGAATTAACCCCTCCGTGCATGTTTTGAACAGGATAGCGAACTTCGACAACGCCGAGGATACCCAGCAGCTCTTCGCGAGCATCTTCGCCCTTCAAGAGGAGATGCGAGTCGATCACGAAGCTTGGCGAAACGAGTTCGAGCGAGTAACCCGACTCGCCAACGCACAGCATGAAACGACGACAGCAACGATGCAGCAGTCGCAGCAGTTTCTCGAGGCTCCGAAACCGCGCCCACCTAAGCCGTTCGATCCGAGCAATCGAAATTCCAACGTCTGCACATGGATCGCCGGCATGGAGATCTACTTTGCAGCCATCGGATGGAGCTCGCCAGTCGGGGACGGTCAATGCGTACGACTCGCGGCAACACTGATGCGAGGGCCAGCACTCGAGTGGATCGGCGGTAATAGTACCTTCATCCACGGCGAAGCCACGTGGCAGCATTTCCGCACCGACCTGCTGAAACGCTTCAAGCCGATAAATTCGGGGTTCCTTGCCCGGGATAAGATTCATCGCCATCGACAGTTCGGGAGTGTAGCACAGTACATACAACACATGGAGGAATTTTATAACCGCATTCCTGACCTGACCGAAGGGGAAAAAGTACAGTCGTATCTCGCCGTGCTGAAGACCGAAGTCAAACGATAGGTAGCAGCGACAAATTACGCGAGCTACAGTGACATCGTATTGGCAGCAGAGCGGTTTGACATGGTCAACGCCGGAACACGACGGGCGCACGCCGGCAGTACGCAACAGGGCGACCGCTCGGCTCACCCCACGTTCGCCGACCCGATGGAAATCGACAGGTTCGACGGGCGGTCAGGTCCAAAAAACACCAACTACACGTGTGATTTTTGCGGGGTGCCGGGCCATCGAATCTTTGACTGCAACAAAATGAAAGCAACATGAACAGAGTATCGAGCACGCAACAGTGGCGGAAATTCTTCGGCCAATCAGAAGACAAAAAAGCGGAATGTGCCAGTGATTGCGGATCTAGCGGGCGAAAAGGAAACGATACGAAAGCGGCCGCGTGATTCGGGGAAAATCAACTTCAACGAAGCTGATTCGACGCGGACAGGAGGAAATGATGGGGAAAAATCTCCACCCCACGACCAGCCTTCGCCAGGGAAAATCGCCGAGAAAAAAATCTGACTCCGCGAAAAGGGACTCTGTCGAGACGGGGAAACTCAGAGAAGACCCAGGAAATTATAAGGATTCGTTAAAGTTATCTTATAAGGATGCTTAAATGAAAACTTATGACTCTCAAGGGGCTAGAGCCATGTAGAAAGTTTGGGAAGGACTTAAGAAGAAGCAGAAACTTGTGGAGATCGTAGTGGTGCCGGAAAGCTTGGGGACAAAATTAAGGAGTGTGGAAATAAGCCGAACTCACCATGGAGTCAACGTCCTCCCTCAACACCAGCCCACAACGACTACTCGTTCCCCAAGGAAGACGTCGGTGGAGCTAAAGCAGCTTAAGAGGAAGCTGGGGGTCTACAAGAAGCTGCAAAAACCCCGAACGCCTCCTTCGAATGCATCCAGCTCAGCAAAATCGGCATCAACAACACACACAGTCGTCAAGAAAGCTTAGAGTCATGAGGGAGAGCCTTTCTCCAAGTAGCCTCGGCCAGCTGCCAGCCCAAAAGTAGATAACAAGGAAAAGGTGTGTACGAAATATTGGGATGTACCCTATAATCTCATGAACGAAACTATCTTTGGGTACTCCGAGCAACGCCTGCCCCTCATGCTCGAGGTCATATGCAAAGGACGACACCTCCAAGCATTCGTGGACAGCGGAGCATCACACACAATATGCGATAAGGCAGTAATCGACCGACTTTGGGAAGAGTAGAAGCCTTCATCATTCTCTGCAACGATGGTGGACGACAGCAAGTTACCAGTATACAGCGAAGCAATGTTACACCTACAAATCGGTCCACTGCGCTGGAATCCTGCACTCCTCATCACCAACATAAAAGGGCTTGACTTGATCTTCGGGCGAGACTTCCTAAAAAGATTCAACCCGGAGATCAACTGGGTAAATCGTACCGCAAGCATCTACAACAACGGATGGAGAGTCCAGCTACCCAACTGGGATGATACAGGAGATATCCCAGTGGAGACACTCGCAAGATTCGAGAAGGACGTAAAGCAAACCTTTACCGGGTTCCTAGCAATAGCGACAGATGTGGAAAACGGCGGAGAGAAAACCTCGGAACCTCCAGAAAAAATCAAGGAATTACTGAAGGAGTTCCAGGACATTCTTCCCGACGACCTTCCGAACGAGCTGCCGCCATACCGAACGCACCAACACGAGATCGTGGAAGAACCAGGTTCGAAGCCGACCTTCCGAGCACCATATCGGCTCATCCCCATGGAGCTAGTCGACATGAAGAAAAAAAACGAGTATCTCCTCGCAAAAGGACTCATCCGACCATCCACTTCACCATACAGTGCCCAGTACTCTTTACACTGAAATAAGATGGAAGCCTGCGCATGTGCATCGATTACCGAGCTCTCAACAAGCGGACTATCAAGAATAAATTTTTGATACCACGAATCGGTATGGATGGCGGACAACTCTATCCACAAAACTGCTTTCCGAACTCGGTATTGATCGTACGAGTATTTGGTAATGCCGTTCGGACTCACCAACGCACCGGCAACGTTCCAAGCCAAAATGAACCACATTCTACGACCACTTTTGGACGAGTGCGTGGTGGTGTACCTGGACGACATCCTCATCTACTCGCGTGACATGCAACAGCACATCCAACACCTGCGACGCATCTTCGACATTCTTCGACGAGAACGATTCTATGTCAAATTATCCAAGAGCGAATTCGCCCTTGAGAAAGTCCAATTCATATGACACATGGTGAGCGCTCAAGGAGTTCACGTCGACCCCAAGAAGGTCGAAGCCGTACGCACGTGGAAGACACCCGAGAACATGAAGGAGTTGCAGCAGTTCCTAGGCTTCGCTAACTATTACAAGAGGTTGGTGCCACAGTACGCGAAAATTGCAACACCACTCACGAATCCACTGAAGAAGAACACGCCCTGTAAGTGGGGACCAAAACATCAGGAAGCCGTGTAGCAGCTGAAACAAGCACTCACGTCCGCACCCGTACTCATCTTGCCAAACCCTGAACGCGACTACGTCATCGAAGCTGACGCTAGTGACCAGGCAGTGGGAATAGTCTTGATGCAAGGCCAGAGGAATGGAGTGCAACCAATTGCCTACCTCAGCAAGAAACTACACGGGGCAGAACTAAACTATCCAATACATGACAAGGAGGCCCTTGCTATTATCATCACCTTCAAAACGTGGAGATGTTATCTCGAAGGACAAAAATCAACCGTCTACATCGACCACTGCAGCCTGAAATATTTGAAGACACAACCAAACCTCTCTAGGCAGCAGGTCAAGTGGATTGACTTCCTCGAGACGCACTTCCACTATGACATCGTGTACAAGCACGTCCACAAAAAGAAAGCAGAAACTCTCAGTCGGCCTGCACATGTTGCCGCTATCCAGGTTGAAGGGATGAACCCACTACTCAAGGGACTCTTCACACATGGGTACGTTATTGACCCCGAAATTCCTTTGGCAGAAAAGCGACACCTGCTACAGTGGGACAGTGGCATCGCGTATTGGAGGGGATCAATGAAAATCTGGGTACCCAATTACCCTCCTTTGCGCAAGTTACTATTCGAAGAATACCACGATGTCCTATACGCGGGACACTTCGGTAGCAACAAGACGCTCACCGGTATTGCAGAGCACTACTATTGGCCCCACATGGTAGACGACGTCAAGAAATTCGTCACCTCGTGCGATACATGTCAGCGGATGAAGAGCAGCAAGCAGAAAAAGGTGGGACTGCTACAGCCTCTTCCTGTCCCAAAACAACCATGGCAAGTGGTTAGCCTGGATTTCATACCGGGCTACCAACTACCGCAAGCGGTCATGACGCAATCGTCGTCGTCATCAACAAATTCTCTAAGATGGGACAATTCATCCCGACACACACGACAGCACGCACCGAAGAGACATCACAACTAGTCGTTCACTACATCATCCCACAACATGGCATTCCAACCACACTCATCTCCAACCAAGACCCCAAGTTCACCAGCAAGTTCTGGAAGGAACTGATGTCTCTTCTCGGGACAAAACTTGCCATGTCGTCCGCCTACCATCCGCAGACAGATGGACAGACCGAGCGCCTCAACCAAATTGTAGAGCAACTCCTCCGCGCAGTATGCAAAGACGAAATCTCTAAATGGGACTTGTATCTGCCCATCCTGGAGTTTGCCTACAACAACGCCACTCATGCCACTACTGAACAGACGCCGTTCTTCCTCTGTTACAGATGCCACCCGCTAAAGCCACAAAAACCGACAGCATCAGCCACAGTCCAAGCCGCACACGACTTCATCACGACCATGCATCAGCTTTGGGATCGGACCCACAAGGGCCTCCTCGACATTCAGCAACAACAGAAGCGTCAGGCCGATCGCCACTGCACTAACCACACCATCACCGTGGGAGACCAGGTTCTACTCGACACCCGCAATCTCGACATCAGTCATCTCCCATCCAAAATACGACCTCGCTTCTGCGGGCCCTTTCTCGTCGAAGCACAGGTCACTCTTGTTACCTTCTGCTTACACCTGCCAGCTACCTGAAAGATTCAGAACGCCTTCCATGTCCAACTTCTGAAGCCATATCGAGATCCAAACACGGTCTTCACCGGACACCAACCGCCGCCGCCGTCGCCCGTCCTCATCCACGATGAACCCGAGTACGAGGTCGAGTCCGTGCTTGCACACCGTCGTTGGAAGGGTTATGATCCTTCTGAGGATAGTTGGGTTCCTGAATATGAGATGGGTAACGCTCGTCGTCCTCTTCGCGACTACCTTTGTCAAGCACGTTGTTACTTTTACCACCCAGCTTTGAGGGGAGGAAGTATGAGATTACGACCCTTTTACATTTCTTTCTCATTTCCATCTTTTTCCTCTATCTCATTCTTCTTTTTATCCTGATTCCTTGGATCTTTATCACATCCCATTTGGTTTCCTATTCCTCCTTTCTCATCATCCTTTGGGTTATCTGATTATTATAATTTTATCACCGACTAGGCTCTGGATGTACTAGCGCGCTACATCTAGCATAATCCTGCCGTAATCCCTTAATAGCCAATAGCCTCGCGTGGTTATACGCATGGTGATTCTATTTCTAGAAGGGTCTATTCCCTTTGGATATGATAAACCTGGTTACCTGATGTACCTCGGAAGTATAAAAGCGCCTTGTATCAATCGATAGTGCAACTTTTCCTCGACACATTCGATCCTGTCACAAGGGGCTATTGGGGGAGTGGGAACCAGTGAACACCTTGAACACCTGGACAGATCCAGCATGTGCAATTGGGACAAAGCGCCGATGCCGTAAGGCAGGAAAGCCAGTTTGGGAGCATGGATCTCCAGACTTATCAAGCGCGGATGCATGGTGGCAGTCCCTGGCAACTCCGCCAGTTCTTCAGCCCACTGGATGTGCAGCCGTTGCAGTTGCTGCAGCGTTGAGCCAAGATCCTCAGGAATTCGCTTCCCCCTTCCCCTTTCCAGATTGTAAAGGCATGGAGGCGAGCAAGGGTTACCAATGGAAAAGGAAACTCCTGCAGGTCATCTGCCAAGCTCAGCTCCAAGCATGTCAGATGGGATGCGCTGCTGATGATGCCCCCCAGCTCATGAGTGACAGCACCCATTCTCAACGACAATTTCCTGAGCTTTGGCAGCATAAGGACAATCGGAAGAGTGTTGCTCTGATGGTAGATGTCCAGGGATGCATGCTAAAGCAAACCTGGCAGATCAATGGGAGATTCTACCACCAGCGCACATCCACTGATCTCCAACTCCTTGAGTCTACTAAGGCCCTCTAAACTCTCAGGCATCCAAGTGAGGGTGTAACATTTGGCAACCCTCAAGACTTCAAGCCTCCTTAGATCAGTGGACTCCGGCAGTTCCCTCATGGTGGTGCAGGAGTGGATGAAGAGCCCTTGCAGCTGCTGCAGCAGACTGATGCCCTCTGGAAGCTCGGATATCACGCACTGGTCCAGCTCAAGCTGAGTCAGGGAAGATAACTGGGTGAACAAGGATGGCAGCAGCTGCTGTGCGTGGTTATACACCAGGATGAGGGACTGCAGGTTTTTCAGCCTTCTAAAGTCCTCTGGGAGCTCCAGGTGTGTCAGCATCTGGAGGCACAGCGACTTGAGCGCTGAGAGGGAGGCACATCCTGCAGGCAGTTGGTGGATCTCCTTGCAGTCGACCAGGCAGAGGGTCTCCTGGGACGAGAGCTGGCTGAAGGAATCAGGTTGGCCCGAGAGAGGCAGCTCCTCCAGCACCAATGTTTTCAAGGCGGGCAGCTGCCCGAAGTTTTTGGGCAGGCTGAGGAAATAGCACGAGGAGATCTTCAGGCTTCGCAGAGAGCTTGGGAAAGTGAAATCGTCGGGCAGATCATTCCAAAGCGCGGTGCAGCCCGTGAGGCTCAGCTCCTCAAGGCACGGCAGCAAGTATCCAATGTCGTCGGGAAAACAATGTTCTCCAAGGCAATTCACGAGCAGCAAGGGCTTCAAGCCACTACACGTTGATCCTGAAGGAAAGGCCAGGTTGAACTCGGGACCGTGTTCTTCGAATTCCAGTGACAGGAGAAATGACAGCTGAGCAAACGAGAAGGCTGGAGATAGACTTCTAAAAGAATGTCGGTATCCTCACAGAAGGATAGGCTCGTCAGGCTGCTGAGATGAGTGAGACCCAGCAGGTGCTCGTCATCTACGGAATCGGTTTGAATGGAGATGGTAGATAGAGAAGAGCGATACGCGAGTCTTGGATCTTTTAAGACTGAGGCGTCGGTGAGGAAGAGAGCGCGGAGATTTGCGAGCTGGAAGAAGGAAGCCAGTAGATGGTCGAATTCGTGAAAGCAGTGGAGCGTCAGCTGCTCCAGCTGAGTGCAGCAACGGAGGAAGAGGTCGACGCCAGCCCTGGTCACTGGGTGAAGCAACTCAAACTCCCTGTCTTCCCTGCCATTGAGTTCCGACGCAGCTGGCGTGATCCTCCTTGACACGTGGAGTGTTTTCAGCTCACGACACGATTCCGCGAGGTGAGCAAGGAAGGCGTTGTTAACGGTTTCCACACTGCGAGTGCATAGATGCAGATGCGACCGTCTCGGGAAGCACGCAATGGCGTTTGAAAGGTCCTGGAGGGAGACCACATGATTTTCTCGGACGAGCAGCGTGGCGACGTGAAAACGAGCGAGGCGACGCCATCGACGGCAGACGGACTTGACAAGAAGGGTGTAAGCGGTGTCAGCTGAAGCTGGGAAGCGGTGTCAGCGTTTGTCATTGTCTTGATGGAACAATTTCTCCTCTAGACGAAATAATTCTTGGGGATTAGCGCAGATGCATACCGGCCTAGGCCAGGAAGAGGTCCACGAGAGGCCACAGCCGGAGGGGGGGGAAGATTGATTGTCGGAGTGCCAGAGAATCTTAACGAGGAGATCTCAGATAAATCGTTGGCATGTGGGCGACGCCATCTATGAAGTCTGAAAGAATGCTGGCAAGAGACAGATGATTGCTAGTATCAGAACAGCAAATCTTGCGCGATGAAAGTGGCGTGACAAAGTGGTTTTTTTGTAGCCCGCTTCAGCTTCCGGTTTCAGATCTGTTGAGTTGTGGCTTGCTGTCTGTTGTATCTCCTCCATGTGCTCTATCCGTTGTGAGAGGGCTTTCTGCTACTGGGATTTGCCCTGAGCTGCGCTGATCCAGGTGGTCTAGAACAAGAAATGTCACTCTTCGACTCCGTGGGACGTCGCGAGAAGGTGTAGAGCGGTTTCTGCTGTTGTAAGAGCATTTTTAGAGCAAACTAATTGGTGCCGCGACTTCCAGAGATGGGGAGCAAGGACAGGCTCTGCCTCCTCAAGAATGGCTATTCGCGAAGCTGTTATCCGAGCAGCAAAGGAGGTATTTCGTCACTAACGAAAAACGTCGCGATGCAACTCGTTCGTTTCGTCATACGCCGACGATCGGATGTTTCCTGCTGGATTTGCTGTAACCCGTTTCGCTGCTCAAATCGGGTGCAACGGGGGTCACATGATCTTGGCGACAAAACCGCTGCTATTTCAGAAGTGCAGTGGAGTTATCTCCACTGGGATTTCTTCCCGCTGAGGTTTTTCACCTATTTGTGCAGGAGATAACGCCCTCCCAAGAGAAGTCAGGTCGGCTTTCTAGTCGACATAACTTCTGGGAAATCTGCGTGCTTGTACGATACCGACTAGTTGGACTTGCCTGGTTCCGCAAAACCACACGCCGATCAGTGTAGCTCATTGTGATACAAACTTCTCGCATCACTTTCAAGGATGGCATGCGTCTTCGACGAGGCATGGCGTGGAGCTGGCCCGCTGTCATCGGCTAAAAAACGTATCGCTCCTCACACCCCCGAAATCTACCATCGTCCATGCATTATGAAGGTACATTGGTTATGCTGCAAGCCCGCATCAGCAATAGCAGGACGGCTGGCTCTAGGCCCGGCGAACAAGGGCGGCGGAAAGGATGCCTGCCGGAAGAGGGGCGACTGGAGGTTGGCAGCGGCGAGGGTAGGAAGAAGGGTAGACAGGGAAGGGAAAGTGAGACTGGGAAAGCCGGAAGTTGGGGAAAGGACAGTGGCGGGAGGAAGGGCGAATGGAGATTGGCAGCGGTGACAATTGGAGGAGGGTAGGTAGGGAAGGTAACGAGAAATTGGGGAAGAAGGAAGGTGCGGAAAGGAAGGCTGCAGGAGGAGGGGCGAACGGAGGATACTAACGTCAAGGGTAGGAGGAAGGGTAGATTGGGAAGGAGAAGGGAGGCAGGCGACGCAGAGAGGCGGGGGGGGGGGAAGTGGGGAGGAGAGGAGGAAGGGATGGAGGGAAGAGAAAAAGGAGGAAGATGAGGTGGAGGGGTTGTGAAGCCGACAGTGAGGGCGTGGAACATACAGTTCTGAACTTCTGAAAGTTCGGACGGCCAGAGTGGTAGAGTGATTTTCAAAACGGTTTTGATGTATAGCAGTTGGATAACCGCGTGGTACAGTGTGGTGGAAGTTCGGACGAAGGCTGTTCGGAACTGTATGTTCCACGCCCTGAGGGTGCAACAAGGAGCGGTGCATGAGAGGATGTACGGCTTACCACCGCAGCTCGGCTTCATGCGCTTTGCGACGTGTATTTTTAGCCGATTCAAAATACACTCAGACGGTGCAACATGCAATGGTGCGGAAGAGGACGTACAGCCTACCACCACACCATGGCGTCATGCGGTTTGCTGTGAGAGAGAGACGGCATTCGGCACCACTTTGCAGAGTGAGTACAGGGAATGTAGAGCGCCCACCTGTAGGTTAGCAGGGGGGGGGCGAGTGGCCACCCTAAACCCTCAATCACAGGAGGGTGGTGTGAGCCGTTAACTCACCTTAATCCAGCAGATGGGAGTTAGCAGGATTGCATCTCCCATGCTGGCCAAGATGTGCTCTTAGGGTTGTGCTCAGAGAGCTGTGCTCTGCGCGCTGTGCCCTGAACGTTGGGCTCTGAGCGTTTCTGGGAACGGTGAGGAATTGATCGGTTTCAACCAGAGGACGTTCATCAGATGTTCTTTGAGCGTTTTAGAGAACGCAGTAATGAGGCGGTAGGAAATGTGGGTTGTGAAAGCCGACAAGATCAGGCATACATGCTACAACTTGGTGAGGCCGAATGTGGGCTGGTAAATATATGGACTGCGGTTATCGTTATCTCATAGTCTGTATCAGAGAAGGTTCCATGCATCTTCAGCCTCACTTTCCTGAGCTTTGAACGTTCGCAGATGCCTCTATCTCTTTGTGTCTGCTACTGTGCCGTCCGCAGATGCCTCTATCTCTTTGCGTCTGCTACTGTGCCGTTCGCATATGCCTCTATCTCTTTGTGTCTGCTACTGTGCCGTTCGCAGATGCCTCTATCTCTTTGTGTCTGCTACTGCGCCATTCATTACCCTTCCCTGTCTTGCTGACGTGTCGCCTTGTCCCCCTATTTCCAGATATTCTTCCTTCCTTTGGGAAACCTGTCTAAGATCTGCTACTCTGAACCACCACCATCAGCAGCAGCTGCTGCAGCTGCAGCAATAAGGGGGGGGGGGATTGTTTCAGCAGATTTCAAGACAGCAGGGGCGGCAGCAAAGTGGGCAGCATGGTGGGAGGGAAGAGTTGTAAGGCAGGAGGGGTGGGTTGCAGAAAGAGAACGGTGACAACAGCTTCAGTTTCGAAGGCTCTGCCACTCTTGGTCTAATCTTGTCTTCAATGGGCCCATCTTTTGCTGCTACTGTGCTGGTTCGTCTCCTTATTATTTTCATCAGGCACCAAACAACATTGGTTCTATTCTGCCCTTGTGCTAGTGCCTTCCCCTGTATTTGCGCCTTCTCCCGTTTCATATCTGCCTTGAGCCTCTCTCGATTTCCATCCCTGCACCACCAGTCACGAGCAGCAGGTGTGGGCAGCACTAGCAGCCATCCGACATCCGCGTCGCTTCGGGCCGCAGCTTGGCGAGAAGCTCGTGTCGAAACTGGTGGTGGAGGTGGAAGGCACGTGGACAGCACGTGCACGTGAGTATAGCGAGGGAAGGTTGAAGGGTATTGTTCGTGAGTATATCATAGAAAGTAAGGCATTTCCCTTGTAGCTTCCTTATTCCTCCCTTCCGTCTCTCACTCGCTTGTCTCCTCCCCATCTCTCCTTCCCCCTCCCACCCCCTCTTCCTCCCTTCATTTGACAAACTTGAGCTCCTCCATCAGCTATCAGAATGCATTATCGACTAAAAACGAGGCATCGCACAACGATGGTACGTACGAGAGTGAGGGTTACAGACTGAAAGAGACCGGTAGGGGTGGGGGGGGGGGGTGGTGGGGGACGGAAAAGGAAGGGAAAGCCATGGATACCAGGATTCAGCAGCGATAACAAGGGGCCCCTTTGGGGTATGCCCCGAGGTGTGGCATGCGGTGGGGGTGAGTGACTTCAAGAGGAACCTATCTGCAGATCAAAAGGGTGTCAGGTACTTTGTACGTGTCACACACACGCACAGCACATGCCGGTATGCCACATGCATCCACATCACATCAGCCCAGCACTCCGCATCAGTCCAGCACTCCTCATCAGCCCAGCACTCCACATCAGCCCACATTTCGTTTCGCTATGTTTTGCTTCATTCAACCATGCGAGATGCGGTCAGTAAGGTTCAGCAGTCAGCGCTAGTCCTTGGGCTCCAACTTTATAGGACTCGCTCTTGATGACTCTCTAGTGAGGTACAGCAGAGCATACGGCACAGCTACGTGTGTGTTGCCATGCGAGTGCACTGGTATCCCAGAGAGGTCATCCATACATTGTGTGCTTGGAGCCCCGTACACCGCGCTTCAGAAGAGAAAAGCCTTTGGCCCGCCCTGAGCTCTCAACTCAGGCGTGAACCTACAGCTCAGCGGAAAGTGGTGGATTACAGCTGCGAGGCGGACTGGCTCGATTATATGTGTGCCTGAGAGGGTCTCGGGATTAGGCAACGCCATCGTGAGGCATACTCTGTAGCGAGGTGCGTGAGAGTACTCTGAAGTGAGGCGCGTGCGAGCGCTTTGCAGGGGGGGGGGGGGGGGGGGGGGGGGGGGGGGGGGGGGGGGGGGGGGGGGGAGCACGCAGTGTTGACGTTGGAACACAGGAGGTCGAGGGCATGAGCAGCAAAGAGGCATGCTGCTTTGGCCGAGGCATATGCAGCAGGGACACGTGTTTGTTTACACCAACTAGATGAGGGCAACATGCAACGCTTGATCTACTGCTGATGTTTCTTTTCCTGTCTATAACTAATAGGGTTCCATGTGCTCTGGCTTTGATTACTTTTCGTGTGCTGCATTGCCTTCACGTATCGTTCCCTGCCTTGCTGCTGTGTTGCTGATTCCTTGCCCAATTTCTTCCCTCCACTTGTTTGGTTTCAAAAACTCATCTCAGATCTGCTACTCTGAACCGCCGACAGCAGCAGCAGCAGGGGACAGGGTTATTCAAGAAAAAGGCAGGAAAGCAAGGAAGGTAGCAGAGGGGGCAGGGGAGTGAGTAGCAGAGGGGGCAGGGGAGTGAGTAGCAGAGGGGGGCTGAGGGGGTTGCAGAAGTGGGTGATTGAGCAGCTGCTAACGGATCCCTTCTGGCCTTCTTTGGCTCGGGGGAGCAGCAGCGGTGCTGGTCTCACAGCTGGTGCTCTCATGCGAACTCAGTGGGTCTGGGTCCGTGCTGTTGTGCGCTGCAGCAAAAGGTGAGAAACGTCATAAGAGGTGAGAGGTGCAGTAATTGTTGAGTTATCTGCTCACACTGTTTGCCTCGCTGAGTGGAGCAGCCGCTCGGATGTCGCTTCATGCGAGCTCAGTGGGACTGATTTCGTTGGTATTGTGCGCTGTGATAGGTGAGTGGGGAGGAAAGGATAGGTTTGAAAGGGAATGGGATTGGGGTAAGAGGGGAGAATTGCAGGAAGCAAACCTTGAAGACAACTCGTTTCACAGCCTCTGTTACTCTAGTGGTTCTATCCTTATCCTGTCCAAGTCTCTGTGACTTCGCCTGTTCCTTCTCTCACGCCGGGCTCTATCCATTGCCATCCTGCCTTATCAGGCATGAGCAGCGGGTGTGGGCGGCAGCAGCCACTATGAAACACCCAGTGGTGTTCTCTCCTGTCATTTCAGTATTTTATTTTCTCTCAATGGTCCTCTGTCCATTGCCATCTTCCCTTTCCCCCCTCTCCCCCCCCCACCACCAGGCAAAAGCAGCAGGTGTGGGCGGCAGCAGCAGACGCAGCAGCAGCAGCCATGACTGCAGTGCCATATGCAAATCCACCCCATGCTGAGCCCCTTGAGGGCTCCCTGTTCGCCTTCGCCAGCCCCTTGCTTCAAATCCACCCTGACCAACCCATGAGTACCCATTGACTGCACCTTGACTATCTAGTGCCTACACAGAGCTACACCCTGTTGTACCCAGCAGCACCGAGATACACCCAGACCAGATACTGCATGCAAATACCACTACATCACACACATTGCAATGCGTTTTGCTTTCATGTGGACAAGGCTTTTCATAGTACACTCATTACCACAACTGCGTAAGTGCTTGTCGCATGCTTTTCTTGGGTGTGGATGTGTAATAGCAGCCATCACTGTAAATCAGACATAGTGACGTTTGAAGTGGTTGCCTTAAAGCGCGGATCCCAAAACCCCCTAAAGTCAAGTCCTAAGTTTTTGAGCCCCAACCAAAGTTGACATGGTAACCCGTTTTGACGGGCGACACTGCAAAATCCGTCTCAAGCTTTCTGATTGGTGCAACAGCCCACACACCCGCCAACCTCTGCGACAAACCACCCACCAAATCCTCGCCCACCTCCCCCCCCCAACTCAAGTTTTAAGTCTATCAGCAGTTTCGGGACTAGTAATCACGGGCAAGTAGGCGTAGCTGCCTGAAGGCCATAGAGCGTCGCCAGAATAGGGTTTGGCGTGCGACATTTCGTGCACTCTCATGATGCTCCCGGCGCACTCCACGCGCAAGCCACCCTATTTAGCGATACCAGAACAGCAAAGAAAACTCAAACCCCGCACCAAATCCCGACGGCATTCGCACAGCGTCGCAATCCCACCATTAGGTCGCGACGCGCGCTTTAACTCAGCCAAGCCTTCACGCAGGCCATATGCCTCGCGCTAGCACGTTACAAAACGGTGGCCGATCCAACGCGGCACCTCTTAGCACATGCCCGCCAGTCCATCGCCGCCACGTCTGGGAGTGCCATCCCCCCACGCCTCCTGCCAGTAACCGACCGCCGACTGCCGTGCCGAGCGTCGACCCTCGGACCGCTTAAATACAGGTTATGTGTGGGGGATGGGGATAGAGGCAAGATGGGGATGAGGAGAGGACGGGAGGGGGATGGGGGGAGGACAGGAGGGGGATGAGGAGAGAACGACGGGGGGATGGGGAGACGTCAAGAGGGGGATGGGGAGAGGACGGGAGGGTGATGGGGAGAGGATGGGAAAAGGATGGAGAAAAGACGGGAGGGGGATGGTTAGAGGACGGGAGGGGGATGGTGAGAGGACGAGAGGGGGATGGGGAGAGGACGGGGGGGGGGGATGGTGAGAGAACAAGAAGGAGGATGTGGAGAGGATGTGAGGGGGATGAGGAGGGGACGGGAGGGGAATGGGGAGAGGACGTGAGGGTTTTGGGGATAAAACGACAGGGAGATGGGGAGAGGACGAGAGGGGGATGAGGAGATAACGAGAGGGGGATGGGGAGAGGACGGGAGGGGGATGGAGATAAGACTGTTGGAGTGGTTCGGCCACCCACGACGGACTACTCGTGACTTGGGGCGACGGATGGAGAAGCGCGGACTAGGGAGGCGAAGGAGTTAGGAAAGGAGGAGATTGCGTGAGCGTGTGACTAACGGAAAAAAGGGGAAGCGAGAGAGAAGCAAAAGAGAAGGTTGGAGGAAACAGTGATTGGGTGGACGAAAGGAAAGGAAGTGGCGAGAAACAAGGTGACGTGGGGCAAAAGCTGGGTTTCGGACGGGGCGTGTTCAACAAGCATTCGGACTTCGGACCAGCGGCGTGTTCAGCAAGAAAGTCGCGGTTGCGTGTGCGACTCGGCTTGACACGAGGCACGCAAGTTACTCGCAGTGCACACGGCAGTTACGAAGTGCGAAATCGCTTGTACTTCCACTATAAATCTGTTTGAAAATTTGTGCTTTGTATATCATTGTTTCTAGTGGAAATTGCTGTCATTTCGTATTGACGATTAGCAGCTACTTTGAGATCACTTTTGGAGGCAAGGCCCTTGAGGATATTTGCAAGAGTATTTCCAAATACTTTTCGCTGCGCCGGAGGCAATAGTCGCCTAGAAAGATGAGAGGGAGACGGGGAGAGGAAGAGAGGGGGATGAGGAGAGGACGGGAGGGGGATGGAGACAAGACGAAAGGGAGGTGGGGAGAGGACGAGAGGGGAATAGAGAGAGGAGGCGAGGGGGAAAGGGAGAGAAAAGAGAGAGGACGCGAGAGGGAAAGAGAGAGGACCTTTTCCCCTGCACTCGTGCTCGCCCCCAGCACCCATGCCTTTCCCTCGTTCTCATCGCCCTCCCTCAACCAACCACCCTCCTTCCCCACAGGAGCTGGCAGCCTTCAACTCGAAAAGGGCAGAGAGAGTGAGGGCGAAGTTTGCACCCTTCCATGCCCTCTCATTGCCCTCAATCCCAGTGTCTCCCCCTCTCTTCCTCTCCCTGTCCCCCTCTCCTCCTCTCCCTTTCCCACTCTCTTCTTCCCAAACCTTTGACTGCCCGTCTGCCCCCTACACCCATCCAACCCCCCCCCCCAGCTTTGGTTGCTCCCCCCTGCTCCCATCATCTCCCGCTTCTCCTTCCCCCCCTATCCCCATTTCCCCCCCCCCCCTGCTTCATTACTCCCCCTCCCATTCTCCCCCTGCTTTCATTGCTCCACCTCCCATTCTCCCCCTGCTTTCATTGCTCCCCCTCCCATTCCCCCCCTGCTTCCATTGCTCCCCCTCCCATTCTCCCCCTGCTCTCAATACTCCCCCTCCCATTCTCCCCCTGCTTTCATTGCTCCCCCTCCCACTCTCCCCCTGCTTCATTGCCCCCCCTCCCATTCCCCCCCTGCTTTCATTGCTCCCCCTCCCATTCTCCCCCTGCTCTCAATACTCCCCCTCCCATTCTCCCCCTGCTCTCATTGCTCCCCCTCCCATTCCCTCCCTGCTTTCATTGCTCCCCCTCCCATTCTCCCCCTGCTCTCAATACTCCCCCTACCATTCCCCCCCTGCTTTCATTGCTCCCCCTCCCACTCCCCCCCTGCTCTCAATACTCCCCCTCCCATTCTCCCCCTGCTTTCATTGCTCCCCCTCCCATGCTCCCCCTGCTTTCATTGCTCCCCCTCCCATTCTCCCCCTGCTCTCAATACTCCCCCTCCCATTCTCCCCCTGCTCTCATTTCTCCTCCTCCCATTCCCTCCCTGCTTCATTGCTCCCCCTCCCATTCTCCCCCTGCCTTCATTGCTCCCCCTCCCACTCTTCCCCTGCTTCGTTGCTTCCCCTCCCATTCCCCCCCTACTTTCATTTCTCCCCCTCCCATGCTCCCCCTGCTCTCAATACTCCCCCTCCCATTCCCCCCCTGCTTTCATTGCTCCCCCTCCCATTCTCCCCCTGCTTTCATTTCTCCCCCTCCCAATCTCCCCCTGCTTTTGTTCCTCATCCCTGCTCCAGTTCTCACCCCCTCTTCTTTGTTCCTCCCTCTTATTCCCTCCATTTCCTCCCTTTCCTGTCCGTGATTCCCTTCTCATCCCCATTTTGGTGGTTTCAGGGTGGGCAAGGCTGCCCAGGGGACATGACCTTTGGGTGCGCTTCCGCTACCCTTCTTCCACCTACCCCCCCTAATCCCCAACCCCCTTCCACTCAGAACCTGAGTACCGCACCTTGCTCCCCTCCCCCCTGCACTCGTGCTCACAAAATCTCTTGTCCTCGTCTCTCTCTCTCTCTGCCCATCTCCCCGTCATCCCTTGCTTCCATACTCATCCCATTTCCCCTCCGCCCTTCCTTTCACAGCACGGATAAACTCTTGCAGGGGGTGACGTTATCACCCGAATATTGGCGCGTATTTGGTTATAGGGATTATAGGGAAAGTCACGGGCGATTGTTAGAAAATATAATTTATAAGCCCATGTGCTAACAAAGGGTATTTGTATCAGAATAATTGAATGAATGTAAAGTGAGAGTACACACAAATATATCTAAGTTTTGTAACCTCTAAGAGGTGACTCTATACAGTCTATACAAACATGACAAATACACATGTTTGACACACCCCCTAGACTGCATAGGGGAATACCCTAAACAAGCAGCTCAGGGCGGCACTACTAGTCCAACCTCTGAGGCAAGGGTCTGAGCGACCGGTCAGAAGGAGTACAGACAAGGCAAGCACAAGAGCAGGGCGGCACTACTAGTCCAGCCACTGGGAGAGGACACAAGTCCAGTCTGAGTATACATATAAAGGACAGTACAAAGTCAAGGTCCTAGCAAGTGAGAGGCTACAGGAACTAGACCAAGCTGTACACAGTGCCGCTGATGATCTTTAGGCGCAAGCGCCTTCGTAAAGATATCAGCCGTGTTGGCACCTGAGGCCAAGTGTACTACGCGAGCCTGACGTCGCTGCTGTAGCTCACGCAGGAGGAAGTACCGCAGCTGAATGTGCTTCGCTCTGCCCTCGAGTCGAGGCTCCTGACACAGGAGGATCATGGCCCTGTTGTCAGCGAACAGGACCGGGGCAGAGCTAGGCCGCTCACCTAAGTCAGTGAGCAAGAAGGTCAGCCAGCGGAGCTCCTGTGCCGCCATGGCACCGGCGTAGATCTCAGCCTCACAGCTGGACTGTGCAACAGACGAGGAGCGAGTAGCTCTCCACGAGATGGCACCTGAGCCAAGGCTGAAGCAGTAGCCCTGGGTAGACCGGAGTGTCTCAGCGTCGTCTGCCCACGAAGCGTCTGTGTGCCCAGTAAGGACCGCTGGCCTGCGTCCTCCTAGCACTAACCCCATGCCCGATGTACTAGCAAGATAACGCAGAACCCTCTTAGCGGCAGACCAGTGCTGCGGTCGGTGTCT